CCACCCTGGTCTTGGCTCACTGAGTTAACCTGAATTTGAGCGGGGTTGGTAAGAATGCCTCTGGTAGAATGTTCTTCCTGGAAAAATCAAGACAAGCTGTAGAACTGTGTCAGTATAGAAAACAACACATTCATCTCTCCCCCCACACCCATGCATGTATAGAAAAAAGGCTGAAATAAAATACACCAGGCCTGGCCGGTGTGGCTCCGTGGTTGAGCATCAACCCATGAACTAGGAGGTCATGATTTGATTCCCCGTTAGGGCACATGCCCCAGTTGTGGACTCGATCCCCAGTAGGGGGTGTGCAGGAGGCAGCCGATCAATGATTCTCTCTCATCATTGGTGTTTCTATCTCTCTCTCCTTCTCCCTTCCTCTCTCTGAAAACAATGCAAACTTTGTTTTTGTTTTTGTTTTTGTTTTTAAGAAAACACACCAGGCTGCTAATAGAAAATTTTGATAGAGGGTAACACTAGATAAGGGACTTTCACTTTCCAAGTCACACATTTTTAGAATGCTAATTTTTAACATGGCTCACACATTTCTTTTGTAATAAGGGAAGTTTAAAAAAGTATTTTTATGAGAACTCTTTACCTCGCTCAGCCAAACCAACAGTTGAGAATAAGAGTGAACTCTGTCGAGTCGTTTAAGGAGATCATGGTGACCTCACCTGGCCCGAAACTGCTGAGCAGTCAGCAGTGAGTCATGGGTGTGGGTGTGACCATATGGGCCCGAGTCTGGGCCCTTCTGAGTGCGAGTCGTCCACGGACACCAGGCTGGCCTCAGCCACCTCTCTCTCCAGGAAGCAGCTCCTGGAGCTGAGCCTGGAGCCAGGGGAGAACCTCCGGGCAGGCTGGTGGCAGGGGTGGCTCTCCGCTGCCAGGGTGTCCTGCAGGTGGCCCTCACTGCCACGGTCACTCTGACCTGAGCCTCACAGAAGGCATGCGCTGCAGAAAGCCCAGGATTCCTGGGGACCTGAGCTGGGGAGGGGAGGGTGGCTGTACCTGGAAGAGCCTCGCAGCATGCCGTCACTTTGCTGTGAGCCTAGCAGTGGTCGGCAAACTGGCTCGAGAGCCACATGCGGCTCTTTGGCCCCTTAAGTGTGGCTCTTCCTAAGCCTTAGGAGTACCCTAATTAATAACAATGTACCTACCTATATAGTTTAAGTTTAAAAAATTTGGCTCTCAAAAGAAATTTCAATCGTTGTACTGTTGATATTTGGCTCTGTTAACTAATGAGTTTGCCGACCACTGGCCTAAAGACACCACGAACGCACACACAATGGCAACCAGCCAGCAGCCAGTCCAGTCCCTCCGGCTGTGCAGGGACAAGCCTGAGAGTAGGACCTTACATTTCTGCCCTCCGCATGGCGCCCAGTGGCTGTCGGCTAAAATTCTAGTCTGCCTGCCTTCTCTGTGGGCAGAGCCGACCTCAGCGGATGCCACGGGGCATGCTGCTGTCAGAGGCTCCAGTGCTGCCCAGGTGGCAAAAGCCTGGCTCACTGCTTCCTGTGCAGGGGCCCCAGCATGAAAGACCCCCAAAGGCCTAGGAGCAGAAGCCTGGTGGGAGTGCCTCCTGCCACGAGGTGGCGCTGTCTCTCAGCAGATGCCCCTTGCTCCCTTCTGGGTGTCTGCAGCCTCTTGCTGTTCCAGCTCCCCTCTGTAGGGGGCCCGAGGCCACCCCACCAATGGATCTGTGCTTGGCATTAGTCCTGGGGTCCTGCCCACAATCTTTAGAACCACAAACGCTTCCCCTCTGCAGCCGGAGGGGACTGGTACCCGGGGCACTGCTTGCCCTCCCTCAACCCAGGGAGGAGAGTGAGCTGGGCATTCGTTGCCCGCTGTAATCTGGCCCCTCCTGCTGCACCCAGGCCTCCCAGCCTCCCCCATTCCCGCTCTCCCCTGGGAAACTTGTGTCCAGTATCTGCTGGGCCCAGGCAGGTGCTGGAGACCCTGGAGCGTGGGCCTGCCCCTGAGAGCTCACTAATTGGGTCCAGCAGAGGGTCCCGAGGCCCCCAGTACTGGACTGAACAGTGGACATGCCTGGCCTCTGCTGCTCTGAGACTGAGAGTTGAGAGGTGGCTGAGGCCAGCCTGGGTGTCCCATGGACGACCTGCACTCAGAAGGGCCCCGATTCCGGGGCCTATATGGTCACACCCACACGCCTATGACTACTCAGCAGTTTCTGGCCAGGTGAGGTCACCATGATCCTTCTAGAAATCCTGCTTTTCCTCCTTGTCTTCCATGATACACACCTCTCTCCCCTCCCCCAGTTTTCTACCGCTCTGCTCACCCCCCTGTGAATGCCCTCTTTCCCTGTCACGCTGGTCTCCTCCATATTCTGTCCTCTCGACTCTCAGTCTCATACGTTCTCTTTGGGAGCTCACATATGCTACGGTGACTTCCACAGACATGCTCCCTCAGCGCAGACCCCTCTGCTGACCCGACTGTACGTGCGGCTCCCTACTGACCACCTCACCACGGATGTCCCACACTCAGCAGATCCAGGTCCAGAACCTTCCCCACCTGTGTTCTCTGCCGTGACGGGCGTGTCCTCCTCTCTTCCCCAAGTATCTCGAAGCTTTAATGCTGCTCAGATCTGCTTCATCTTCTCCATCTTGGTTTGAACCCCATTTGGTCTGAGCCTGTATTAATTCTCATCTCGATTACTGCAAAAGCTCCTAGCTGGCACCCTGACGTCTCACTTGCCCCCCACAGTGCACTTTCTACCCCCTGGCCAGAGGGATTGTTGAAGGCCATGTCAGCAGGCCTCCCCCACTTAAAACCTTTCAGTGGCTCTCTCCTGCCTGAGGTTGGAGTCCAGCCCCCTTAGCATGACGAGCAAGACCCCCTGCCAACCTGCACCACCATGACCTCATGCACCTTAGGCAGCCACAGGGAATGGCTCTCAGCTCCTGTCTCAGGCCATGCGTGTTCACACCTTTCTGCCTCTGCATCTGCCTCTCGGCTACTAGGAGCCCAGGAGCCAGGCCCTGACCACCCTCTCCCTCCCCACCTCCCGCAGGCCAGACCCTGACCACCCTCTCCCTCCCCCGCCTCCCGCAGCCCAGGCCCTGACCACCCTCTCCCTTCCCGCCTCCTGCAGGCCAGACCCTGACCACCCTCTCCCTTCCCGCCTCCCGCAGGCCAGGCCCTGACACCCACTCCCTCCCCGCCTCCTGCAGGCCAGACCCTGACCACCCTCTCCCTTCCCGCCTCCCGCAGGCCAGGCCCTGACCACCCTCTCCCTCCCCCGCCTCCCGCAGCCCAGGCCCTGACACACCCTCTCCATCCCCACCTCCCGCAGGCAGGCCCTGACACC